TATTGTAAAATGATTTTTTTATATGCTGCACACCGGGTGAAAAATCATTAGTGTAAACATCGACGGTTCCTCCTGTTGTTTGAATGGTATTTGGAAAGTATTAAAGTTGATATTTCAATAACCCTATAAAATGTGATATTGATGGAACCACATATTGATCAATATACGTTTCAAATTCAAGTATATAAACAGATCCAATCACATTGGAAAACGTCAATAATAATTATGTTTCAGTCAGTCAGAAAATTTGTCGAATTTTTAATACGACAGGGTGAAACCTGAGTGGCGAAATAGAGAGGGTGGAATTCGCTTTTGTATAATAAAAAAAAACCACATAATAAAAATGCGGATTTTCATCCTAACTCCGAATTTCACTATTTCGTAACTCAGGTTTTAATTTAATAATATATACATTCAAACCTCTCTATAATCACACCCTTGGTTTTAAGAATTTGGTGCTTATATAGAGGTTAAATTTTATAAGCATTATATAAGTTGGTTAAGTATTGTATGTTTATTTTAAAAGTTTGTGATTATAAACAAATGTGACTATGACATTTCCCTATTAGAGAACACCTATGTAACATAACGAACATAACGTGACATAGTGTTCTTAAATCCGGATTTATACTATGATAAAAACGAATTTAATCCCTATAGGGGAGGTGACTATAGAGAGGTCTGACTGTACTTGTTGCAACTAATAGCATTGTGATGGACTTTTTACGTAATAAGTCCATTTCTACAGTACGTATATGAGTGCTGCCAAAGAAAAACCACAGTTCGTAATTTCAGATATATTTTATACTGGACATAACCCATAAGTTAGATAAATCATGATCAATAAAAAATATATTTGAAACGCCAAATTGTGGTTTTCCTTGGCAGCACTCATATACATTAATAAACTGCATTCAATGACTTTCAGTAAATTGAAGAACCGAAAAATTTTGCATTAAATTATATTTTCAAAAAAAAATTTTTTCGTTCTTTAACTAAATAAAGAATTATGTCTTCGCAAACTTCAATTCAAAATCGAAATAAGCCCATGTTCCACGCTACATTTCTTGATGGTATCCGTGGTATGGCAGCTTTAAGTGTCGTTTATGCTCACTCCCAGACTCATTATAGACAACGTTTGGCTTTTAATACATTCAACAAAGTGGGAACTTATGGAGTAATCATGTTCTTTGTGCTTTCCGCTTTTTTACTTACTCTT